ACCCCTGATCTTCTGACAGGAAAGGTCTACACGTAGCCTTCTCTGACAAGGGCAAAAAATGTCGAAGGTCCCGTACCGTGTGCCAGTTGCGCACATTAAAGATCCATTGGTGATTTAAAATCGATAAGAGTAAGCTTCGGCCGCCACACGGGCAAAATTCAAAATTTCATACTAGCTGAAAATGTTTAATGTGTTCCGCGCGCTCATATGCATTTGCAAGCGAGGTAAAACACCTACCCCCCAAAAATAATAATAATAAAGTTTAACAATCATCTTTTGTTGTAACCAGTTACACCAGGATAGCGAAAATTGAAAATTCAACAATAAGTATAACAAAGGAAACAAAAACGACGTAACAATGAAAACGGCGTGCAACCACCTCCGTGTGTGTGTGTGTGTGTGTGTGTGTGTGTGTGTGTGTGTGTGTGTGTGTGTGTGCCTGTTTGTTTTTTTGGGGGGGTTGTTTCATTTTTTCAATCTGTTTTTGCTATTTGCGTGCAAGATGGGGGGGAGGGGGTGTTGTGCGTGTGGGTGTGTGTGTGTGTGTGTGCGTGCGTGCGTGTGCGTGTGCGTGTGTGTGTGTGCGTGTGTATGTGTCTTTGTGTGTGTGTGTTTGTGTGCAAGTGTTTGTGCGCATGTGTTTTTGTGCGTGTGTTTCGGTATGTGTGTGTGTGTGTGTGCGTGTGTGTGTGCGTGCGTGTGTTTGTGTGCAGTTTTGTATGTGTGTTTGTGTGTGTATTTGTATATGTGTTTTTGTGTTTGTATGTGTGTAGGTATGGAGAGAGAGGGGGTGGAGAGAACTGGGAGACTTTGGAGATTATGTTTGGATATATTTAAGAGAAAAAGAAACTTGTTTTACGAAAAACAACATAATAATGTTTGTATGTTTATGGAGAAGGGGGGGAGGGCTGGGCTGTTTTTGTTCCTCCCATATAAAAAGCTTCGCCGATAGCAACCAATATTTCACTAATAATAGAGAAGGCAATAGCTACAATCGAAACAGTCCTATATGGACACCCCCCCCCCCCCC